CTTAGTCCTTAATCAATGTGATAAAAGGGACCCACAAGTGAGGTTGATTTTAACGCGTGGGCGTAATAACTTTTTCTAAAGACTTTTGTCATATATCCCCATGGAAATAACACATGGACTGCAATTAGTCAAATTAATGACGAAAAATGGCAATTATATAGTATGTATTACTGAAGTCAATAAATTAAAGGTTGCTTTAGACTTATTCTGCAAGCTTCAAAGTCTCATTCAATGTTCATCCCTCCATGCGCTCCACTAATTAGCCTTCATATATATATATATATATATACTCTTAATTAGGGCAGAGCTACAAGGTTATGTACGGGTTCGACCGAATAAGTAGCTTTAGTCTATACTTTTTATTTGTATTAAAAATTCTTTAAATATGTGCAAAAATTAGATTCAGACCTTAGTTACAAACACCTATCCTATAACTCAAAAAGCTCAAATCCTAACTCCGACTCCGCTTGTAACAACAGGGCAACTAAACTTAAACCCATACACATGTGTAAACTACTTCCTTCCAACACAAAAGAAAAGCAAGAACGAAGTTGCTAGTCCATAAAAGTAGAGTTCAGATTAAAAAATTTGTACTGATGATCACTATAATATAAAATTTTCGGAAATTCTGTATACTTTCTATGAAGGATCTTTTTCACTATTGTTAACCTTCACTTGTTTTCTGGCAGTTCACTTTCTTCTTTCCCTTTTCTTTGCAGTGGCCTGGTTTTTACTACAATAACAACAACAACGACCCAGTGTAGTCCCACAAGTGGGGTCTAGGGAGGGTAGTGTGTACGCAGACCTTACCTCTAGCCCGATGGGGTAGAGAACCTGTTTCCGAAAGACCCTCGACTCAGAAGAAAAAAACAAAAAGAGACAATATATCAGTAGCTGACCTGGTTTTTACTATACTGAAGAAAAAAATTAACACTCTGATTTTACTAAACCACAAAGAAAAATAATAGTATTCTACTGCACCAATGGAACATATATTCTTATGAGTTATGATCAGTGCCAGAGAAATGGAAGTTGATGTGAATTTAAAAGGAAACGAAAGCGGGTTTCACTAGTCAACGAATGAAAGAATATTACAAAAACGAGAACTGAAACATCTAGGGTTTTATCCAGAGCTGTTGATTACAAAAAATCAGAAAAAAGAAAAGTAAAATAAGCATTAGAAAAAAAAAAAATAGACATAGGTTTTTCACCATTATTAGCAAAATGACAATGTTGTAGGATTACAAATGTTTCACAACCCCTTCCAGAGCAATGGTTTTTTTCTACCTTTCATGCAAGCGGTTGTGAAGCATCTTAATCATACCATTCCTTTTTTTCTAACATACAAACGTAAGGATAGCTGCTGGTGGACAGAGTTATCCGATATCTTTGCTGGTGGAAGGTAACAGAAGTGAAATAGTCGAACTGCATGCAAACGAATGAGACCTTATGATTAAAAGCTTTAGCTTTAGTGATTTATGTACAACTATCTTCTGATATATGTTCTTCTTTGCTCACCAATTAATTGTGCAAGGGATCAGGAGAAGAGGGCACTTCTCTATTGACATATGCAACAAAACCTTCATCCCCATGGCTGCTGCTTCTACTTCCACTTGTAGCTGTAGGACTTTGTGCATTTTCCATGTTATTATCTTGCAGGTCCCGAGCTCCCAAAACTTCTTGTTGTACGGCTGAAAATGTCAGAAAGATCAATAATAGACACCATATAATATATAGTATACTTCTTTTGGCAGGCATGGCCCCTTAATTTCTTCTCACAGTTTCTCTCTTGCCTTTTTCTCTAATCTTTTCCAAGATAATATTGCTTGATTTTGTGTGAGAATGTGTTTGTACTGAGAAAAAGATATGTATGCCTACTGAACCAAGAAGAAGAAGAAGAATAACTGCTTTGAGGGAGCTGAAATAAGTTGCATGGTAGCTAATTTTAAGGTGTATGTGCTAAACAGACAAATACTGTTCTCTTTCTCTTCCAGGGTATTTGTGTGTGAAAAGTGAAAAGTTTTAGTCAATAGAAAGGCTTTCGGTTTTGTGGGGTTGGGGTTTTTTTTTTTTT